CCTCGAGAAATGTCAGCTGAACACATTTTACAAATTGCAATCCATGGCTCCCTCTCTGATATTTTTGAAATATCTCCAAGCAGCAGACATGTTGGCTGTGAGCCAGCCGCGAGCATGGTCGCGCGCCGTGCTTGTCGCCGCGTTTTGATTACGTCATCACAACAACACGTTAGTTGTTGTTGAAGGCCTGGCTGTTACAGTCTTTATTTACACTATTTTGTTGTAGGCCTACTGGCTTAGATGTTTATTTTAAAGCACCTTGGCTTTGTTCTGAATGCACTTTGTTGTAGTTATCCACAGAGAAAAGAAAATGCACTTGACTTGGAATGAATGTACTGTATGCATTTAAAAGTGCTGAATAAATGTTTTATGGACCCATAATAGTGATTATTATTTAAGTTAAGTTTTGCCATAATCATGTCTTTTTCCATAATCAGGTAGCTGAACAACATTGGTAAAAAATGTATACATTATATATATATATATTTCTATATATACACACTGTAATTTTCGGACTATAAGCCGCACCTGAATATAAGCTGCAGCAGCGGCATACCACTCTCGGTTCCACCTTTACTTTTGCGCGCTACCTGTCTCACTCTTTTCCGGCCTCCAGCTTTTCCTGCTGGAACCCGCCGCTTAAAGGTGGGGGTCCGCGGACCGGCCATAGAGCCCATAGAGTTAAAGGTGTTGGCCGTTAGCTGTAAAAATCCATAGATTAGCCGCACCGTTATATAAACCGCAGCGTCGAAAAATAGGGAAAAAGGCGCGGCTTATAGTCCGAAAATTACGGTATATATCTATATTTCATTAATCATTTTCGGCCTTTCGGCATTCGGTTTTCGGCCAACTGTTTCCTGGTTTCGGTATCGGTTTCGGCCAAGAATTTCCCATTCGGTGCACCCCTAGTTGTTATTGATAGTAATTGTGTAGTGGTTGCTTTTCTCTATGATTTTGTGTCTTGACGTTTCATCGATATTTACTCAATATTTCCTTGTCAGCTGGATTTTTCTCGTTGTTTTTCCCATGTGTGATTTGGTACTTCTTGAACACCTTGTCCTGAGATAATTAAGCCCCTTCTACGAGACAACACTTCACCCAGAACACGGTACGATGTTAGCATCAACACGTCAGCCAGAATAAAATATATTTCCTGCAGTAAACGATAAAGATGAACATCCAATCAACAGCGAACACAAAGGAGGAGGAGTGGTTATTAAAATGGGATTACAAACAATAACAATGGGCTCACAGCTGTGATCGATAACAGCCAAAATAATAAACATCATGTCACAGCGCTCGGTGTGCAGGGAGGGGTCATGAGTTGAGATGCAGGGGTGCATTATGGGAGTTTGGTCGACTCCTACCTCCTCCTCCCGGTTGGCTCTGGGCCTCCTGAAGCGGATCGAGCCCCCCCGGCTCCCGTACGTCGCTGCCAGGTTTTGCCGCGTTCCCTGTTCACCGTTTCATTTCATTTAACCACATTTAAAACATCGTGCCAAAACCTACTTTGGATCAGTGGCTTGACATCGGGTATGATATGTTTGAGATGGAGAGGATGACCCTCGCTTTGAGGGAATGTTTTTGTGGAGATGGGAAAAGTGGATAATATATGTTACGACCATCATTCGTCTAGAAGGGATTTGTATGTATTTTGTTCTATGCCCCCCCCCCTTGTTTGAATAGGTTGCAGGTACACCCCCATAACCCTGCTGGTGATTATGTTCAAACTGTATGTTAGCGCATGTTTGAAGGTCAGTCAGGCCTCTGTATTATCCACTAATATGTATGTTTGATTTGTGATTTCACTGGTAACTACAGAAGGCTCACAGTAAGGGGTTAGGAGCTAACGGCCATCCATTATCACAGCATGTACATTCAATATAGTGATGTTCAAACCTGGCTGCCTGTAAACACATGTAACGTCTTATTACCTCGTCTCAGCGTGGAGTTGGACCTGAATCACAGACATCCTGGGGCTTTATATAAAACATCAGAACCTGTCTGATCCGGCTCGAGCAAGTCAAAGGTCTTTTTAAACTTAACCCATAAGAACCCGGACCCATTTCTACTTTAGGGGAAATGATGGGGCCCATAGGACATGTTGGACATGTAATTATGGGAACCCAAAGTCACATGACCTGGCCTATGACCCAGCAGACTGTTCAGCGTGAGTCACTTAGGGGCTTCATGAGATCAAATAAAGGCTAACAGCTGTATACGGAACTTTCCAGAACACTTAAATGTCTCATGGGTTAAATGTGACCTGTTTCTCTCAGCATGTGCCCTTAACATCTCTTTATAAGTGTCTGTACGTACCAGCTGTCCCTCGGCTCGCACCTTGTTGAGCATGGCTTCTCTCTTCCTCTGCAGAAACTCTTCCACCTGATAGGCCCGTCCTGCAGCCATGTGACCCCGGGACCTGAACACACAACAAGGGTCATCAGTACTGTCAATACTATGGAATCAAGGGCAACTACATGCACTAAAATACCTTAAGTTTCCCTCAAGTGTTACACTTAATGTACTGCAGCAGCTCAACAGCACTGCAGCAGATTCAAAGCTCTTAAAGTACAGTTCATACGGGACATGTGCTTGATGTAGTCACACGAGTGATAGTTATATATTCACAAAGCTGGCCTTTAGAGAGTTGAATTTTAAGTAAACCAAATAACTCATGGGAGGAAAGGGTTACACTTCAGCAGGAATACAATAAAAGAAAGCACTAAAAAAGCCAATAGGAATCAGACAGACGCAACGATTGTTCATTTGAAGTCTGTAGGTAGAAAAGACTTTGGTAAGTGTGGAATTGTATTGGATTTAATGGAAGTAAAATATTTAAGATAAGGATCAAATAAACTGGAAATACTTAAGTGAAGGTTTTTATGGAAAAAGACTTAAAGAAAGACTTCTTGAGAGCACCCGTTTTCTTCTAGTGAAGCCTCAACCCGGGTTTTGTTTTGGATCAGGGCGCTGTCACTGACCGGCTGATGTGAGCAGCTTTAGAGCCGTGCTGCAGACGCTGCAGTTCCCTCTTGATGGCATCCGGGTTCAGGACCCGGGACGGGCTGCTGGGCAGAACCGGGCCTGCAGCCGCCGGGACCCTGCAGGGGACCAGAAGACACACTGAAATCTCCTTAAATACAGGGAAGGGGCTTCAGCTTTTATATTCAAAGTCCTACTGATGAAGATTTTTTTGTTATGGTTATTTCATTTTTTTTAACAACCAGAATAAGTGTGCATGTTTTGATTTAAAATAACTGCCATGTGTGGAATAAACACATAAATAAAGGTGACCACAGAGTCCCTGAACGCACCGTGCCGGGCTGCCTGGTGCCGGGCTGCCTGGTGCCGGGCTGCCTGGTGCCGGGCTGCCTGGTGCCGGAGACGCTCCTCTCATCTGGTCCAGCGCAGCGTGGTAGTGTTCGTACGGAGTTTTACTGGGAAGGTAACCCGGACCCTGAACTGAGCACGGGAAGGCCCTCTGCCCCCCCCCTGCAAAACACTGAGGAGGAGCACAGGGGGAGGTGAGCACAACACTGAGGAGGAGCACAGGGGGAGGTGAGCACAACACTGAGGAGGAGCACAGGGGGAGGTGAGCACAACACTGAGGAGGAGCACAGGGGGAGGTGAGCACAACACTGAGGAGGAGCACAGGGGGAGGTGAGCACAACACTGAGGAGGAGCACAGGAGGAGGTGAGCACAACACTGAGGAGGAGCACAGGGGGAGGTGAGCACAACACTGAGGAGGAGCACAGGAGGAGGTGAGCACAACACTGAGGGGGAGCACAGGGGGAGGTGAGCACAACACTGAGGAGGAGCACAGGGGGAGGTGAGCACAACACTGAGGAGGAGCACAGGGGGAGGTGAGCACAACACTGAGGAGGAGCACAGGAGGAGGTGAGCACAACACTGAGGAGGAGGTGAGCACAACACTGAGGAGGAGGTGAGCACAACACTGAGGAGGAGCACAGGAGGAGGTGAGCACAACACTGAGGAGGAGCACAGGGGGAGGTGAGCACAACACTGAGGAGGAGCACAGGGGGAGGTGAGCACAACACTGAGGAGGAGCACAGGGGGAGGTGAGCACAACACTGAGGAGGAGCACAGGAGGAGGT